GGGGAGTGAGGCAACGGATGCTGTAGCAGCCACTGATGACTCTGGAACGTCAGATGGCTCTCGTGAGATTGTGGAGGATGCAAGTGATTTTGTCAGTACCGAAGCCACTGATGCCGCTTCAGACGGGCTCTTTGAGTCACAAGAAACGTCATGTCCGATGGATTTCCCATTCGTTTACTTGAATGGCGCTTTCTGCTGTGCGAATAGTTTGAACAATTTCAATGAACCTGAGCCAATCGATGTCGCAAGCACAAGCTGCCTGAACGACAACTTTACACCATGCCCAGATGGCACCAATTGTGTCAATGGTGATATAGAGTCTAATTCCGATTCTGCGTCCGATGTGGAGAGCAGCGCAACTACTGATGTTTCCGAACCAACGGATGGCTCTCGTGAAATCATCGATGATGGCGGCATTCTCGTGACAGATTCTGTTACCGATACTCTACCAACGGACCGAGTTGTATCGGCAGCCGCCAGTGATGCGATTCTCGTGACTGTCGGCGGCGATGTTGCCAGTGAATTAGGCACCAGTGATGACCTTTTCATCCCTACAACCGATGTAAAAATAGAGGAGGCAACGGATTCTGTGGAAAGTGCAGCCACTGATGCCTCAGAATCAACAAATGGTTCTCAGGAAATTGTCGACAGCGGTGATATATTGGCGACGGGTGCTGTGTTAGATTCTGTTGCTGATGCTATACCTACGGACGGAGTTGTATCAGCAGCTGCTAGTGAAGCGGTTCCCGTCTCTGTCGGATCTGATGTCGCCAGTGAGTTAGGCGCAAGCGAAGGTATTATCATTCCAGCTACAGACGCGGAGATAGGCGCGGCAACAGAAGTGGAGGAAAGTGCAGCCACTGATGCTGCCGAACCAACAGATGGGTCGCGCGAGATTGTGGAGGATGTAAGTGTTAGTGTTAGTGCCGAAGCTACCGATGCTGCTTCCGACGGAGTTGTGCCTGCGGTTGTGCCTCAACAGGCGATAGGCACCCCGTGCCCTGCTGATTTCCCCTTTGCCTACGCGAACGGAGCCTTCTGCTGTGCCACTGGATTGAATAACTTTGCTCAACCTGAACCGATCGATATCACCAGTCCAAGTTGTCAAGGTGATAACTTCACGCCATGTCCCGATGAAACCAACTGTGTTAACGCATTTGAGGGAGCGGTCGTCCCCGACGTTGTTTCCGATGTTGTTTCCGTAGATGCTACAGATTTTGAAGTCGCCACTGATGTTTCCGAACCCACGGATGGTTCCCGAGAGATCGTCGATGTAGGTCCGAGCGACGCTGTTGCCACTGATGGAATCATAGAGGCACCAGTCAGTGAGGCTGTACCCGTCTCCGTTGCAGGTGATGTTGCCAGTGAGTTAGGTGCAAGCGAAGGTCTTTTGGTACCAGCCACAGACGACGTTCAGCCCACAGATGGCGTGAGTGAGAATATCAACGCTCAAGAAACCGACGGTTCACGAGAGATAGTAGAGAACGAGAGCGATGCTGTCAGTGTCGATGCCACCGATGCCCTTTCCGGAAATGTAGAAGTGCGCAATGTCCCATGTCCTGCAGACTTCCCATACGCATACTTGAACGGCGCATACTGCTGCGGAACTGGATTAGATAATGCTTCGCCACCCGCAGGGATCACGTTTTCCAGTGAGAGCTGTCAAAATGACAGCTTCACACCATGTTCCGAAGGAAATAGCTGTGTGAATAATAACAACGTAGCGATGGTGTTCGGCACGGCACCCCTTAGTGAGTTCGTTCCAGCCACTGAGGCCATCGTTGACACGGTCACTGACGCCATCGAACCGACAGCTGATGCGAGTGAGATAATTGACACAAATACAGTCGCTGTTGAGCCCACCGCTGTTGCGAGTGAAATAGTCGAAGTTGTACAAGCTTCTGAACCACTCGCAAGTGCCCTGGAGACTGATGCTCGGCGTGAACTAGTAGAGACCGATAGTGATACGGTCGTGGCCGCTATCACCGATACCGTTTCGGATGAAGTGGTAGTTGCACCACTGCCTGTTGCCACCGAACCTGTGTCAGAAGTAGCAGTGAGTACTCCATGTCCCGTGGACTTCCCCTTCGTGTACGCGGATGGCGCTTACTGCTGCGCGACGGGTTTGAATAATTTCATCAATCCCGAACCGATCGATAAATCCAGTCCAAGTTGTCAGAACAACAACTTCACGCCATGTCCCGATGGAACTGATTGTGTCAATGCCTTTGACGCTGAGGGTGTGGTAGTAGAGTCAGTGGCAGTCGATGCGGCTAGCGAGGCCGATGAAGTTGTGCCGGCTACGGAATCTATTCCAAGTGCACAGGAAACTGATGCCGCGCGTGAAATAGTGGACGCCCCCAGCGATGCCATTATCACCGACGCCGTTTCGGATGAAGTAGTAGTTGCACCACTGCCTGTTGCCACCGAACCTGTGTCAGAAGTAGCAG